TTGCAGTCAAATACAGCAATACGACTTCTAGTCAATGGAAGGGGAGGAGAAGTGACAGGCGCCACTGAAAGCCGGGCTTGTAAAATCCACCACAGTCAAGACTCCCTTCCATTTTAGGGGCCATGAGCACAAGATTCTAAGGCCTTACATTGCACAAGACGAAGAGGGCACGGGATCTGAATCACTGCTACCAAGGCCACCCGACAAACAACTATCTCAGGTAATTCTGCATTTAAAACATTGTTATTTTGGGGCACCTGGGTGGCTCAGTCAGTTAAGCATCCGACTTTGGCTCAGTGACTCGCGGTCCGTGAGTTCGAGCCCTACGTCGGGCTCTGTGCTGACTGCTCAGAGCCTGGAGCCTGTTTCAGATTCTGTGTCTCCCTCTCTCTCTGCCCCTCCCCCGTTCATGCTCTCTGTCTCAAACATAAATAAACGTTAAAAAAAAAAAAAACATTGTTATTTTGCTATTTTAAGCTGATGGGATGTGGAGATTTACCTACTTTAGCAGTTGGCATGAACTTAAGAAAGGTGGCCCAAGACAAAGTTATATGTATGTACACCATACATCAAGATATATAGATCTTGGTATCATCTCAGAGACACATTCTACCTTTGAATTCTTTTTTCTAAAGCTTCAGACTCACATTTTCAGGACCTATTAACTTATTAAGGTTTGGCTAACACCATAAATTTAGCAAACTCATAAAGTTAAACTAACTTTTCCTTACTCCCTACTTCTAATGGTGCCATCATTTCCATAGCCACTTAGGACCTAACGTTTTATGGTTCACTTTGATTCTTAACCTTTTGAATAATTCTTATATCAAACTGATAAATTCTGCTAATTCTCCTTTATGTCTTTGTACGCATTTCATTCTTCATATTCTATTGCCACCATTTCAGAGTAGCTTCATGCCTACAGCACCAAAGTAGATTTCTAATATCATACAGTCTACTATAGCTTCACCCCAAATCATTTTTGTAAATTGCCACTGTCACTACCCCCCCCCCCCCGGAGCATTCTTGGGCTGACAATAGCAATTATATTAGGGAAAGAACACAAAATAGGAAGGTTCCAGCTTTGAAATATCTATTAGTCTACTCACTAGAATTATCTTGGGAAGGTGACTTGTACATTCTGAGTCTTTATTCCCTCATATATTAAAAGTGAGCAATCTGTAGCCCCAGGATTGTTGCAAAGATTGAATGAGTTAGCTTGTAAATAGTGGTAATAACAAAATACCTATTTCATGGTACTGCTTAGTACATGTTTCTTGAATGAATAAATATATTCCTCTTTACCTCTTCCCCTTTACTTAGCTAATATGCTGCTTACAAGTTACTCTCTACTCAACATGATCAAATGCTTTTTCTCCTTCAAGGTAAGCTTCCATCTGAGCTGTTTTGTGACCTCTCCCTATTGACTTTACTTACCTCTATGGAATTCCTGATGTCTGATCTTGCCTTATATTGTTAGTTAGCTTTCTTGGTTTTCATGTACAATCATTTTCTTTAGGTAGATTGCACATGACTAGGGACCTACTTTATAAAAAGTATCAGGTATTTCTTAGAGTGCTATTTGTAGTTGTGTGCATTTGCTTGCTTTTCATTTTTGTTTTGGCTTGTGCGGAATTCTTTCCTTCTTTTTCTCATAAACGATATTCTGACTTTCTTTTAGACATAAACCATTTTGACACCTCTAATCCTGTAGATCATCAGTTCCACTTGACCCCACCCACTGTCTCAAAGGGCACCGCACATGACTAAGTAAGTACTTGCCAATTTCAGTAATTCACTCTCCTGCCCAAAGTGACTCACATAGGGCTTGTGAGCCAAGCAAAGCATGAGGGCCAATTATTATCCCACAGTAATTACAATGTAGAATTATATGAACTAGAGCAGTATTTTAAACGATACAGTTTGCAAACTAACCCAGTTGGGAGAAAAATAGGGTCAAGTGAAGAAGACAAAGAATAAAAGACTTACTCCTGGATCCTACTGTATAGAAATTTATCTCCAGTCTTTTCAGCCACATGGGCTCAAAGTTCTTTTTTTTTTTCTTAAGCTAATTTGTATTTTGTCACTTATAATCAAAAGAGAACTGTCTCCTACAGTTGTGCTTTTTAACTATGAAGATAATATTTACTGCTCATTTTTGTAGCTTATTAATAAGGAGATTTAGACAAAAAAGTGGACTACATAACACGAACACTCCTCACTAATGGAGAAAAAAGAAACAGAAGCACATTCTTTGTGACTATATAAATTTCATTATGTTGCTGTTTAAAGAAGCACGTATTTTATAATATTTAAAAAAGCTTCAAAGACCACCTCTGTATTCCAATCTGTAAAAAATATTTTCATTATGTTTATTATAAAAATATAAATGTTTCCACTACAAATCATTTTACATTAGTAAGAGGCCATCTACATTGTACGATATAAACTACAGGAGTAATTTGTGAAAACACAAATTTAAAGTAAATACATATTGCCAATCATATCATATTTATACATGGCTTAATTGATACTTGGTACAGCATAAACTGGGCAAGTTACTAGAAATAAATAATAAATGTAAATCAAATTTAAGATACAGAACAGAGAATATGGTACATAGCATTGTGAAGGGATGTGGTTTCATGTTTATTGAAAGACAACGCAGTGCCTGTACAAAGAGATGGCCATCAACATTCTAGTACCTCTACTCCACAGTTAAGAATCGTACACTGTTATGTTTACATATGTACAGGGTAAAAATTATGTAAAGTAAATTTATAAGAGGTAAGATAGAAAAATCATGGAGAAAACGAAGAGCAATACACTGTGGGTATAACCTCTACTTTCAAATGGAAACCACAGCCAAAATAAGTGAAATACATTCAACAATTCTCAACTTCTATTAATTCATGAAATGCACAGATTTTGAGGATGCTCAGAATGGTACCTAAGAAAGTAAATTCTAGTATGGGAAAAGATGATATTGAAGCCACATTTAGGTCTTAATGAATATTCCACGACACAAACAAAACGTCTGATGAAAGAAGAATGTTTTTTAGCTGCTTCTAGCGGGCTTAAGTGAAATTTGTAATTAATTTCATAATCGCATATATCTTTTTAAAAAGTTCATGCTCTTATATATCCAATACAGAATCCTAGTAGGGTGATTTGACTATAAGGGATATTGCAGAAATCTAAGAAATAATTTCATACATGAAGGAACACAACCTAAGCCTTATTACACTAAATTTACAACAGATTAGCACTTGTGGATTTTGATCTGTGACTGTAAGCTATATAGTGTTCCATTTTGCATAAGAACATACGGGTTGCAGCTTTGATTTATTCATTCTATTCTTGTGACATATACACTTCTTATTTCTTATTCCCATTACATGAGCATATCAGCATTAGAAAGAATATAGATAGAGCTAAAATGCTGCTTCACAATATATTAGTGGCTAGATCTCCACCAGGTACATCGTTTCAAATATTACCGAGTACACTTATGTTTGGCCCGTGTGGAGTAGTAAATCTAAGTTCTTCCAAGGAGAGATCTCTCTCCTGCCGACAGATTTTGAGTCATCTGCTAGATAACCAGCTATTTTTGAAAATTTTATGCTCAATAAAGGCAAAGGAGTTCAATGCTTCTAAGTTAGACATCAAAATTACAACAGGTGCATATCAGTGGAAGACTTTTAAAGATACTAATACCTGCTATTGATGATCTCCATGTTTAATTAAATTAACTAAACCCCAGTGATGCAGATGAGTAGTTTCGTTTTCATTATTCCCTATAAATAGCTCAACAAGTTTAAGCAAAGATATTAAGTGACATTTCAAAGCCAGTCAGTAAGTGATTTTTTGACTCATGCGTTGGCCTATAGGCTTTGTTGCCAATTAATGCAGCAATCTACATAGGATTCGAATTCTCTCCAGTGTAGCTATTCTCTATGCAGGAGCTCTAGCGTAGCCTGTTTACTAATGGAGGGAGTTGATGGTCTGTCCTCTAAGCACCAGAGCAGGGCAGGTGTGTCATTAGGAATCCATTACATATAAACCAGTATATCACACTAAATTAGGAGCATACAGTTTGTAATCAATGGAGAGACAACAATGGATAAGATAATTCAAGCTGAGAGATTTGGGTAGTGTATGAAAGGATTTGGTTTCTTTCATCAATACAGAGATATAGGTACATATGAGCAGATGGTTCAGAAAATCTAGAAAGAAACCCATCATTCCCCATGTCTAGTTTACCATGTTTCCTACTGCTGACAATTTGAGACAACATTTGGCACTTGGCTGTAACAAATCCAAATTAAATCATCAAAGCATAAATAGAAAACAATAAAAACAATTCAAAAGAAAATAAATATGTACTTTTCTTAAAAATTAAGACACATTTTTACATGATAATACTTAAGGAAGCTAACAATTAAAAATATGTAGTACTTAAAACAACTACAAACTTCACTTCTATATGCTCTTAACAGATAAAAGAGAATAATACAGTGAAAAAGGTAGTATATATGGCCAGATAGTTTGAGGTATAAATTCCTCTATTTTGCTTGTTTTTAAAGAAACAAAATACCTGTTACAGATTTCTTCTGTGTATAAAAATATCACAAGTCTTTTCTTTTGTGGCTATTAGTAAGCAGAGCCACTGTGTTCATTTTGTTATTACACTTGTTTTGCTTTTATGATAATCAGTTTATGGTCAATGGCTCTATGCTAGTTCTTCATCATTCCACGCTGAAGAATTTTAATTTAACCCACCAACTAATATAAAAAAGCAATTACAAAACAAAGTACACCCCCCCTCCCATCCACTAAATGACAGGGGAAAATAAAGAGTTTTTCGATTCCATTTTAAGGCATTTGTATTCATATCTGAGTGTCTTATTGGGCTTGGAACAGCATCTCCAGCATTATCATCTGTCTGTAGAACGATGCTACATCTTCCACAGCCACCACTTCCTTCCAGAAATAACACTTTACACTGGAACTGGACCACTTTTTGATTGTGTTTCTAGAGCTTTAATGCTACTGATGATTTTCTTCTGTGGACCAACCACAGTGACACCAACCTTTTTCATATCACTGTAAAAAAAAAAGAAGAACATATCTGGTGAGAATCCTGGTTTCCTGGATAATATATAAGCAGAGGATTTTTAGTCAGCAAAGCTTGTACAATAATGTAGCTCAGTGCTTTGAACCTAATTTTCTGATTTTTGCATCATCCACGTATTGTATCCTGACCAGTCCACCTATGTTCTTATGGAAAAATAGATGGTGTGGTGGGTTGACTAGTGTCCCTTCAAAATTTCTGTCCATCTGGAACCTTACCATGTGACCTTACTTGGAAATGGGAGACTTTGCAGATATAATCAAGACAACAGATCAAGATGAGATCATTCTAGATTACTATGAGCTTTAAATCCAATGAGACTACCTTGGAATTTCACTTAGGGGGAAAAAAAGACCTAGCTAAGCATGTGGAAATGATTAATTAAATAACCTTGATTCAAATAATTTGTCTACATATTCGCCTCTTTCAGGTCTTGACTCAAACACACCCCTCTCAGAAGGCCCTCTCTGACCTTCTTATTTAGTATTATAAAACCTCTTGAACCCATATCTGCATTTCCTATTTTCTTTTCTTGTTTTATTTTCTTCCAAAGCATTTATCACCATGCAGCATAATACCTTTCTTTCTGACTTATTTATATTCTCTATCTTGTCCCACAGGTAGGTGAATTCCATATGAACGGGGATTCTTACTCATTTTGTACTCTGCTTATTAACCACACCCTGAACAATGGCTATTAATAGTAGGGGCTCAATATGTACTTAATAAAGAATGAACCAATACTCTAGAATATGCTTATCCAGGGAATATGACAGAGGAGTAAAGTATCACTTAGCAAGAAGCATCGAGAATGGCATGAAGAAAAAGTATGCGGGCAAATATGTGCACGCACGTGTACACACACACACACACACACACAGAAGGGGCTCCTTTATACTGAACATAAAGGAAAGAATGAAAAATTGGGAGTTCAATTCTACAAAAATGGACCAATTGATTTCTTAAGAAATGAGTTCCCAAGCAACAAAGGTATGCAAGCAGACACTAGGTACCATTTTAGAAGCAATTTACATGCTCTTAACACATCTGTTACATAAAATTCACCAAGACTGTGTTGCATTCCTATCACCTTGGCTGGGAATGAAATTCTGGTGGCCTGCTGGTTACCTCCCTGCTGCCATTCAAGGGGCTGGTAAATTCTCAATGTACAACTTGTATCTTGCCTGAGTCCTCTTTGATTTTACTCCAGCAGCCTTACTTCATGAGGAAGGCTAGTGGGGCGATATGGCTGCTCCTCTGTGTAACTGTGGATAATGAATCTCTCACTTAGAGTAACGTAGGTTATTTACATACATTGATCCCTGCGTCTAAGGTGTATTGTACAAGATTTATCCCCACTTATCCTTTAGAGCCAGAAAACAGGGCAGATATAAATATATGTGTACAAATCAATAGATCCTCACTCTGGATTTCTTCTCTCATTCTTCTTCTAATTCTATATTATACTTTTTATAACTTACCAGTTTTTTTCTCTGACTTCCTTTTCTCTTCCTTAAAAAAAACTTAGAAACACAACATGATAATCATGGAAAGCAAGAAAACAATGTTTCCAGTGAGAGAGTAAAATATGCTATGATGTCTGGTCCGGACCTTTTTTATAGAACTGAAGCACCCATACCCCAGTAAGCAAGAAAAAATAAGATGAAGAGTGTTCACAGATTGCTTTGGGACAGCTCTGAAGGGCCAGCCCAGCTCTGGGACTCTTGTTCCAATAAAAAGGGCCAAGTTTTCTCCTATAGCTCAATGCCCCCCTCATCACTTTTTAAAATACATATATATCCCAAGTGCACTCCTCAAGAAATCTTGTGCATAAAACTGTTTCAGATTCTGTGCCTGAAACCCAACATAAGTAAACAGATACATAATTTTGTATATATTCATTGCAAAGGATTACATTAGAAAAGATAAAGTACAGGCGCCTGAGTGGCTCAGTCCGTTAAGTGTCCAGCTCTTGATTTTGGCTCAGGTCATAATCTCATGGTTCGTGAGTTTGAGCCCCACGTCGGGTTCTGTGCTGACAGTGCACAGCATGCTTGGGATGCTCTCTCTCTGCCCCTCCCTGCCCCCAGGCATACTCTCTCACTCTCTCTCAAAAAAAAAAAAAAAAAAAAAAAGATAATTATCTCTTTAGGTTATGCCTTAGCTGGGGTTTTATGTCCCCTCCATCCTCTCTACCCCTTCCAAAATGTCTTCTACCCAGCACCCTGCCATGTCCAAAATAGTTGTAAACATCCAGCTGCTGTAATCTAAATAACATTCCATGTGCTTATCTCATTTTGACTATCCTATTCAGAAGAGCAATGGAAAAGTTCAAGTCTAAAGAGCAGCTCAAGATTGAGAACAGAAGTTAATAAGCGATCTGGCACTTCAAAGGCAAAGGCTAGGTGATGGCACTGTGAAAATGGCATCCAAGGGTGCAGGGTAATGGCATGTAGCAATTAATCTGCCTAATATTCATTCTCCATACTCAATTCTCTCTCAGTTTCTACAGTCCCTCTTGCCCTCTTTCATTCCCTTTTCACATTAACCTTCCTAAATCCAACTTAGGCTATGAATTAGTATGTTTTTAAAAAATGTGATTTGTACTGAACAAAACAGCACATTTTCTGGATTTCACTTGAAAATTAGATGACTTGATTAGTAAATGAAGTCTCTACACTAACTGAAATAGATAATTATTTATTTGGATATGAAGTGTTATTGACTTTTGTCCTATGAGTTGAGAGTCTGGATAGAAGAACAAAAAGTGAAAATCTTTTTTTAGGTATTTTGTCTTATTTCAGGAGAGCCTCTAGAGTTGTTTGGGCAAGAGAATAATTTCTGAATTGAGTCTGGATGGCACACACACACACAAAAGATTGAAAGAAAGAAAATTTAAACAAAAAAGCCCAAGGCTACAAAAGGTAGGATGAATTATTGAGTTAGATATTTTACAGCACTTCAGTAAGAATGTTGCCTCATTAGATTTCCCCAAATTGTGTATTATATATACATTATATATGTATTATATATACATTATATATGTATATATGTATATGTATTATATATACACTATATATGTATTATATATACATATATATGTGTATTATATATACAT